CCCCCGCCCCTCGTCTTGTGTAGCTCCTCCTATTTCTACCAAAAAAAAAGGTTAAGGCCCAACCCTAAGACATGGGCCTCAAGCTTGTACCCATTTTCAAGTTAAAGCCCAAAATTGCCAACCCAAACCCACATTAATTGGATCAACCTATCACAGCTTAATGGCCTCGAATGGATTTGGTTAAGCTTGGGTTTTTGGATTTTTGCAATTATTGATTTTTTCAACCATTTTACATCTCCACAATTACTGTTTATTCTTACTGTCCACTTTTCTTCAAATAAGTAGCTTTATGTTCTTGAGAATTGCCATCATTTCTTCTCTCTGAGTTGAATATGAAAGCCATTTGGAAATGATAATGCAGGAATTCGGATTATTTCTCCTCCCTTAATGGAAGAAATTGGTGAATTCCTATGAAAATTCTGGGCACCTCACCCTAAACATGAGCAGAGAACTAAGGCGGGTGAAGCTCTCTTCTTGTGCAACTTCAACTTTTTCGCAACCATTATGAATTGATAGGTACCTGGTTTTTCTATCTACCATTATTGTACATTTCTGGTCAACATTAGCTATGGATCCAAAATTCTGGCCCCGTTTGGCGTGTTCTTTTGCATGGACTGATGGCTTTTTAGAAGTCTGGCAGCCCGTGTTTTGGTATTTTCTCTTTTGGTTGAAAAAAGGTTTAATTGCCAAAAGGTGCAACCCCAAAAAGATGCGGGAAGCTCATTTCGGAAAGGTCTAAGTGGAGTTTTTCGCCTCTTTTTCAACTCGCCTTTGCATGGAAAGGCACGCTTTAACCAAATGGTCTTTAAGCTACTTTTTTTTTTTTGAGAAATAGTCTTTAAAAACCTTGCATTCAATCATGGTTTTAAAGGAAATAAGGGTAGAAAGTGCTTCAGATTTGCGTGTCGTAATGGATAAATACAAGATGAACAACTAAGCTGATCAACAAACACCAAGTAATTGAAGGAATAGGGGATGGACCCCAAACATCCATAGCCACAACTTGTAAAGGTTTCACTTCATTTGAAGAAGAAAGGTACGACCATTTGTGACTCTTGCCAACACCAACAGAACAAAAACTCAAACGTTTATTCGTGGACATTGGCTATTTATTAGTCCTAACAACATAAGAAAGGTGGCCAAGGCAATGATGACAAATGTCTATACTAGTATATGTTCACCAACATAAACTTGATAAAGTGCAGTGGAGGGTAGCTTATAGGGGCCATTTCTATTCTCCCTGCTGTGCAAAGTGTTTTCCCTGTCATACAATCAATCCTTCACAAAAAGTATGTTGGAATACAATAAACACGTTATTGCATTTGTAAATTCAGAAACAGAAATATAATTCAATTTGATAGTAAACATTTTTCAAGTGTAAAGATCTAGAGGCAGATGGCATGTGAGTAGAAGCAATATGTTCGATTACCGAACTTACTCGGGTACTCCATTACCTATGTAGATTTGATCAGAACCATTTTACTGGAGTGAACTTGCAGATGACGGAGATCATTGGTAAGGTGATTTGTTGTTCCTGAGTCAGAAAACCAAGCATCAGAGTCCTTGTTAGTAGAGATGACCATGAAAGTGGTAGAAGAGGTTTTCTTCTGATTCTTTGTATGGTCAATAAGTGCAAGCAACCACCTACAATACTCGGCTGAGTCGAAGGGTTTTTTAGCATATTTAGAATTCTTACGAGAATCAGAAGCCGGAGATTGAGACTGAGAGTGACTGAAAACTTGTATTGAGAATGATTAGCCACAATTGCAGAGACATAACTGAATCTGTGATGGATGAGATCTATTGAGGGGCAGTTCATGGGTAAACAGCATCCCACTCAAGTCACCAAAGGAGAGAGTATCAGTTCGAGCCATAACAATGGTCGCAAAGGCATCAAGATCAATATCAAGATTCAGGACTGTTCAAAGTGTAGGAGATTAGTTGAGAGTTGGATGGTGGTTCTCCAATAGCCATCAACTCGTCAGCTAGTGTGTTTTGATTTGCTGAAGATAGTCAAGGAATACTATCGAGTTTGATGGTTTTGAAGGAGGTCAGTTGCCCGAGCTTGGTTGTGAGGATAATAGTACAATTTTTTAGGGTTACCCGAGCTTCCCTTGTAGTCTCGCTCCAACATGTGCAAGGGAGGCAAGCATCGGCCTGGGTGCTGCTAGTGCTGGGTAACTTCAATAATTTGAATCTGCCCTTCAACAAGGGAGGCGAGGATCCACCAACAATTTTAATATTGCTGGGTAACTTCAGATTAAAGTATAAATCAATCAGCTCTGGGAGACGCTGGGTCACTTCAATTCACATAATGAGCCAGGAAATTTCTAGTGTTGGGTTCTTTGGCCTTTGGGCATCTGTTGAACAGTCGAAAACGAAAACTAGTGCATGTGCATAGCATTAACAGCATTAAGTTGCTCGGCGTTCGGATTCCATGGAGCCAAAAATAAATGAATAAAAGAAAACCTCAAACTCCCCTCGCAAAGGGGGAGTCGTCATGCACAACGTAAACTCAGGATGAATAATGAAAGAGCACCAACATAGCTGAAAACTTGAATCCGCTGTACCTGTAAAACTCGTGGGCCGGAAAACTCGAACCTTAGCAGAGAAACCATGGTTCTAGTGTCCCAAAATATTCATGTCAAACGCAAAACCAAAACACAGAGCGCAAAACGCAATGTAGCAAAAACAAAAGCAAAAAGATGGGATTTCAACAATTTATTTACTTTTCTCACACAATCATTTATTAGGTAATTTACCAACAGTTCAAAGCCGGACAACAGATTCAACTGAAACAAAAGAAAACCATTCGGAGTTCAATAACATTATTATCAATCTTATACAAGCCCTGGAATAGCATCTTAACCACTAGCAGTATCATACTAATTTAGATATTATTCTCTTCATATACTTCCCGTTCAGCGACCGTCCCATTTTATTTCATTATAACCTAAACTCCTTTCAGGAACCCTCCACCAACATGATGTGCTCCGGGAAGTTATCAAGCAAAGCTACACTCTCTCCAAGTATCTATCTTAACACATCATAACTGCCTATTGCTGCTGATGCTGCTGCTGACGGTGATGACTATAATGATTAATGACATTCCTTCAACGGCTACACCTTTCTCCAACAGATGAACTGTTCTCACAGTCTAGTTGTGGCAAATACTTCCATTCACTTCAACCAGCTCTATGAGACACCACCCCAAACCCATCGAAGATCTTGATAATCATTAAATCTCCAACCAATCCCAACCAGACAAGGCATTTACTTTTAGAAGTTTTCTCATCATTACACCCCTTCAGGATGTTTGCTCCTCTGGTCTGGAAATCTTGGCACAAGCTGCAAATGAACAACAAAAGGAAAGAAGTTCATTAGACCAGAAGAAAAAGTGGCTCCAAATCTACTGATAGCATGCGAAATGCCACAGAACAAAAAATATGTATAAATCATTTATTTAAATCCTGAAACAATCAGTATCTTGATTATATTTTCTTTGATTATGTATCTATTTTAGGTGAAAAATTTGCATTGTAATAACTGTAGCAAGATCTTTCCATTTCAAATTGGAACCAACGCAGATATAGAGAATACTTTTTTGAGAAATTGACATAGAAATCAAGAAAAACTGCAGAAATTTGGATGGGGTATTCGAAGTCTTCTGATTTCTTGTCCTTTTTCTTGCCCATCAATCCACCATTGAAATCATCTATGTTGCTTTATAATGGGAATATCAGCCAACAGATGAATGAAAAAACAATAAAAAACAAGGGACAAAGCGAGAAATTTATTGCAAGTATCACAAATATGTGAGGAAACAACATAATGGGATTAAATAACAAATATGCATCTCTATAGTAGGGCTGTCAATGGACAGGATTATTGGATTGGATTGGACATCTGCCACTGAGTCCAGCAAATATAGATACAAAGACCTCTATTAGAAGTCAAAAGGGGAAAATGACAACAAGAGATAAAATTTATCCAAACTTATTTTTTAACTATAGACTACCAAGTACCAGTCCTACTACCAAACGCCAAAGACATGTTTCAGTAGAAATTGGATTCAACAAATATCCAATGGTCCAACAGATTGGATTGGATTATTTTCTTTTGGATTTGAACTGGACTGGAGTGTTTTCCAAATGGGTTGGGTTCATAATGGAATAATGGATCAGAACGGATTGGAGGGGCGTCCAGTCTATTGACAGTCCTACTCTATACCAACCTATTGTACTTAAAGCACTTATCAGTCCTTGTATTGGCCAAGTGAATTAGGAAGTTGTTTCACTCCAACAACTTAAACCAAATTTCCCATTGAGTGCCCAAATGTAACAAAAAACAAACTTGATGCTACTAGTCATTAATATCTATTTCTAAAACAATAATTCATCCAATAAAGAAATGGGTTTCCACATTAACTACACAGCCAAGGATCAAGACAACTAGGGTTCTTGCACGTGGCCAACCTTAGGAGGTAAATCTGCCAAGACATGGAAAAACCAGCATTAACATGGCATTACCCACACATAGCCAATGCAGATGGATGACCAGTAAGATTATATGATCTTTCCTCATATTAGGGCATATAGTTCTACACAAGATGGATCTAGCAAATTTGCATTTTTAGAAGATCTTTTAGAGATAGGACAAGTGAAACCAACAATTTGGGCTCATTGCATAATATTGATTTTACTGATCCAGTTTCTCTATAGCTTCACTAGATAGGTAAGACTTCCACACCCCCTCAAATGGATTCATTTTCCAAATACCAATGAAATTCAAGTCGGCAAATTATAGCTGTCAAGACATCACCTATCCACTTAGGTGATAAGGTGCTACATCAAGTTGCCTTGATAGAAACCTGGACATACATAAAGTTGTGGTGAATGTTTATCTTATGAGGTCCTAATACACTATCATTTGTCAGTCTGTGTACATATTCACAGTTATTCTGCATCAGCACCTCTTCCCAAACCCTTCAAATGTTCCGAATTTTTCTTTTTTTTTTTTGAAAACTAAAAATAGTCTATTGACGACTTGGACCCAATGCAACAGCATATGTCCTCACTCCCTCATCTTTTTTTCCTAATAAATAAAAAGAAAATTTATTAAAAACTTAAAAAACAAAAGAACAAAGGTTATGAGACTGCACCCTACAGAACAGACACAAAACAAAAAAAAAAAAAAAAATCCCAACCCTACAACCATCACTAAAAAAAACATCCCAACCCCACAGAACAGACAGAACCAAGGTGATGCACCCCCCGAATGTTCTTTCATGACTAAAACCAAATTAAAACTCCCAAATTCTGATACAGACCACCCTTCACCCAGACCCTTCCAAATTACACCTCTTCAGACTCCTCTACCACCACCACCTTCTCTTAAGACTTTCCCTTTGTTATTTAGCCTCCAACTCATCAAAGGCTTTTCTTGCAAATTCCTCTCCTCCCAGGAAGAACAAACCCAAACTGGCCTGACTTGATTAAAAATAACCTCACCCCTTTCATCATATGATCCCCCAAAACCTTCTATATTGATAATCTGGTTTCATCAGCCTCTCCTTGAAAATCACTGTTTGCATCACTTTCTGCTTATCCAACAACTTATTCTTCTTATCAGAACCCATCAATTGCCAGGATCCTTTTGGTCTCTTACTTTGGCTTTCACACTCTTCTGTAGATCCTCTCTTGATTCTGCAACTTCGTCCTTCCCCAACAACTCCATCTTTTAATTGTGAAATAACTTTGGTAAGATGTACTAGATGACCATTAGTCAGTCACCCCTTGATTTCTTCACCAACACCAGGTCTCCATCTCCTTCCTCTTTATTCATCTTATCAGTCTGTCAACCCAGGTCCTTCCGTAAAGTTCCCTCAATCATTTCAGGTCCAATCAGATTCTCTTAACAGGTCACTGTCATCCCCTTCTTTAAGAGTGGTGGTGCTTGCCACTGGCCCACAGCCATATCTTTCTTCTGAATGTTGCCCTCCAAACTCCCCTTTGAACTTGTGCCATCTGCTTTTCGAGCAACCTCTTCAACCACAGGATCCTCCTCCACCAAGAGCAGCTCTATATTTGCTGAGGCTTCTTCGCCTTTGTTCCTTCCAAATTTTGCTTTAGTTTCTTCTTTAAATAAGGAAACCAAACCAGTGAAGATCTCTTATCTCCCCAGTTCCCCTCCATTTCAAAAGATTCACTGAGCTCCCATGCTAGACCTAAACTCAAACCTCCCCCCCTCTAGCCCTTTCCTTCCAGCTCAAAGCCACTGTAGGTTCTCCTTCACATGGTTTCACCTTCATTCCTTCCACCATTCATTTAGTTTCTTCTTTTAAACAAGGGAACCAAACCATTGAAGATCTCTTATCTCCCTACTTCCCCTCTATTTTAAAAGATTCTCCGAGCTCCTATGCTAGACTCAATCTCCATCTTTAACCCTTTTCCCTTCCAGCTCAAAGCCACTGTAGGTTCTCCTTCACATAATTGCATTAAATTTTTCACATGGTGGTCTGGACGTGAAGCCACTGCAAGTATTGGCATTAAAGATGAGTTACTGAATTATTCATTCTTTATGTTCCATTTTTCCTTTATGTTCCTTGTCAGTTTAAAGTGCTTGGAACATTATTTTTTTGATAATTGTAGAGTGCTTGGAACATTTAACCTCAAAAGGAAAAAAACGCATAAAATGAAAAAACTGTGAACTCAAAGAAATAAATCAGCCACTTTTCAAGTCATTGAGGTTGGAGATTTCCATCATTTGCAATGAGCATGGATTTCATGTATTCAGTTAGATTTAAATTTCACTCTGTTGTATTCTTCATGGACACTTTCGTTATCTTCTTCCTTTCTATCCAGCATCCGATTTTCCTATTTTTTATCAATAACAGAGATTTCATTAAATTATTGAGTGAAAGCATCCAATTTTCCTGTTTCTATCAATCTCCTTTTTTGCCTCTTTTAGCTTAAAGAAAAAACTCCACTACTTTGATCTCTCTCCATAAACTTTTATTATAATATTAATTTCTGAGATTTTCTATATTCTACAATAATGTATATAACATTATTTGTCTTTGAAGGCAATTATCCCCAGGTTCAAAGACCAGATGAAAAGTTAGCCCTCAGGTCATCTTTCTTTTTCCAATTATCCACTGGCTTTTATTCGTGTACTTTGCATAATGATTTCTTAACTAAGGAAGTTTTCTTGCAAGATATTTGCTGATTTTCATGTGAAATTTATTGTTTAGGGAAAACAATTGTTGTTTTGAAGTTTAATACTTGTCGTTTGCTACTTCAAATAGGGACCTAGCAAGATCTTTTTTTGTCAAAATAGACAGCCTAGGAAACACTTGAGTGGGTGCCTACTATTTCCTCTCTGGTGGCCACAAGAAAAGAGAAAGGAGGCCAGCTATCCTAAGTATGATAAATTTGATAATCATTGTACAAATACCACCTTGCATGGTAAAAAGATATGCAATTTATAACTATAGGTGCAATTTAACTAGAAAAAAAAATTATGAATTTAACTAGCAAAAAACATAATCTAATTTGAATATTTTTTTTTGGTCAAATTGGCAGGATGCACCACCCAAAAAAAATTAGATACACTAATACTTGCACAAAATTATGGAAAAAACAACAGAAACAAAATAGGACAGAAAAGAGAACATGATAAAAGCAATTTAGGCAACTAAGAATGACAAACCTGATTCAGAGGCAAGTGCCTGCAACACTCCAAGACCATCAATGCTCCAACAGAAATTTAATAACACTTAAGGCTGCTGCAAAGGTCGAGGCCAAATTCAGTAGCACCAGGCCACAAGGCTTCACCAAAATAGATTCTTCAAAACCTCAAGAACAGAAAAATAACTAATTAGCCAAAACACTAGGAAGATAGTTGTGAATTGAGATTGTGATGGCATCTCAATCAAACTGGAAAAAAAAAATTAATCAACAGCATTTCCACAGCCCAGAAGCACAAGAAAACATTTTTATCATCAGAAATGGCAATCTTACCATCTATGCTCTGATAAGGATCTCACACGAATAAACGGCCTGTCCAGAGAGACTGTCCCTGATATTGCTCTGGAATTGGAGTAGCCTCCTTATTTCCCTGCTGAAGCAGCTGATGCTGCTGTCCCTGGTAGAGTTTTAAATGCTCCTGCCAGCTTTTCTGGTTTTCCACTGGGAGCTGCACACTTGGAACTTGTTTTCCAGGAAAAGGAAAGGTAGATGTACTGCTGCTGCTGCTGCTACTTGTAACACTATAATGGGGATAAGCATGTGTCATGTGACCGATGGAGTTTTGTGTTGTTTCTTTTGTTGATGATAAGTGATATCCATCTAACCAGCTGTAGTCATCAATTAATGGATTTCCAGTCTTCAAATCAGAACCAGATATGGGGTCATCCACCTGTTTAGGAGGAACAGTACTAAACCCAGGTGGGGGTCCAAGATGCCTAACAGGTCGGCTCACTGGACTTTTTCTCAAATTTGCATGAGACACTGATGACGGCTTCACAGTAAAATTCTCAGCATTAGTTCCTGGCAACATAATTGAATCAAATTTAGATGGTATCTCAGTTCCTGGAGCCTTTGTCGAACCCAAAAACATATTGCCAGCAATGATGTTGGGCTGTGGAAGATGTGAAAGATCAGAAGGTGGCTGTGAAATATTAAAGCCTTCTTGTAATTCTGGTTTTCTAATCAGCCCATTCCCCACAAAGCTCAAATTTGCCAAGCCAGTTGCAAGAGAATCTTGCTGATCCATAATCCACTTTGAAGCACTTGTACTAATTGGTTGAAGATGACTGGGAATGTTATTAGCAAAAGGGGCTGACAGTCTTGAACTTGAATCCAGAGAAATTGGCAGGGAAAGATTGTTGGTAGTGGCTGAGGTTGAACTGACATAAGCTCCATAATCAGCATTGGTAGCATGTGGGACAGGACCCCAAGTATCATATGGCATCCACTTTGGAATCATCTGATCAACAGGTTTGTCAACCACTGTTGGTTTGAAAACAATTTCCTCATCCTCATCTTCACCTTCCATATAGAACTGTGCTTTTGATTGCATTGCCTCCAAATTCAAATTTTCTTCCACTGAATTTACTTGTTTCACACCATTAGGTTTGGCTACTTCTGAACAAGTAAGGGTATTCTCAGCCAATTGAGGCGCAACACCAATAATAAATGTCTTCAGTTTCTGATCAAAATAAACTCCCTGCTGATCAATTCGAACTACATTTACAAGAGCCCTTCCTGCTGCTACAATCCTCTGGACACGAGACCTTTTCTCTTTGTTCCCACCATCACCAAAGGAATGCTTCCTTGAAAAATCCAGAATGAGTTGTGCAGGAATAAGTGGTAAGAATCCCCTTAACTCAAAGTCCTCTGGCAGGGCAATGCGATTTCCTGTTTCACCTTCATCATACCGGCTCATATTGAAAAAGCAACTCTCATCTTCATTATCATCAATAGGCACAGATCCACATGACATGAGCTTGTTCATAAAGGATATCCACTGGTTCCAGAAGAATGATCGTGCAGAAGCTTGCTTCTCCTCAACATCACTGCCAGCAGCAATGTCAGGACGGCAGGCCAACCACTCCACAAAAACAAGAATGCCTGGTAAAAGAAAACTTGATGATGGATCAAGCAACTGTATACATCTTTCAAGAATGTGACCCACAAACTCAAAAGCAGCAGTAAATGCATTCTGAAGTAGAACAGACCGCTGTAAGATTTCGGCATATGACTGGCCATCAACCTCCCTATTCACATTGTGAACTGTGAATACAAGAATGGCAATAATCCTAATGATAGTAAGCCCATTCTCAGCAGCATCTGAACCAAAGTTTAGCTCCTCTTCTTGCCCAGAAGAAAGCAGCTCACGCAAATCACTAGTAACCAAAGAGAAGACATCTCCAAAAGTTTCCAAGCTGAAAAAGGTCACCACAACGAAAAGGAGTTATTATTAAAACCATACCAATAGAACTTAATTAATCTAGTTTTCAAGGTTTTAATACCTTGTGCGTGTAAAAAGAATGCCATTCAGTCGAACAAACCGAATACAGAATGCTTTAAAAATCTCAGGAATATTAGCTGATTGATCCTTCACAGCTCCAATTTTGGCATCTTTAGATGGAGACCTTGCTTCCCCCTTCCCTCTTCCTTTCCCAGAAACCCGCGTGGGGACTGTCTTGACACTAGACAATTTTGGTTCCCCAGGCAGCTGTGAGTAACTATGACGGTTCTGTGCAAAATAAAAAATAAGAAGTTAAAACAACTCTTGCTAACCCATAATTATTTGAGCAGAAACAAATATTGAACAATTTTCAATTGAAAGTTCTAAAATATCTAAGGGCCAGCATTCAAAGTTCATGGGAATACAACCCTTTACAAGACAACTGTGGGAAATAACAAATAACGAGCCTATCCACTAATAAAGCATTTCTTACATAAATCAGAGAAGTGGAAGAGAACAGAAAGACGTTTGGGTTGAACTGGAAACATCTTCTAAACAATTAATGAACGTAATCCAATGTCCCCAAATAGGATACAATATTCCACACTAAAGGTTCATAAGTACAGATTACTTGATCAGTGAGTGGGTCATAAGCAGGCCAATCAGTGTACGTAATCTCTAGTCATACACTGCCACCCAAGAACACACCAAAAATCAGTGTATGTGGATCAACTCCCATCATCTATGATGAGGAGTTTCCAGTAGTCTCTCGTCATAGATTGCCACCCAATAAAACATATGCAGACATTAAGTGAAAGCCCCCCATCTACGATATGGAGTCCATAGGTTGTCACACCTCATAGACCAGCTCAGGACAACAACAATAATGTAAGCAGGGATAAGGTCACATATCCCATACTCTAGCCCCAGTCTAGAACCTGCTTACAGAACTTCATTTTCCTGTTCTACCTCTTAAAATCAACATAACATTGACCGCATAAGATGCATTTAAAAGTCAATTTAGCCACAGTGCTATGGTACTAGAACTGTCTAACCAACAGGTTAGATTTACAATACACATTAAGATAACTGTGACCAGACATTATATATTCCTCCACCAACAAACACAACAAGAAAGGGGTGGAAATATTCAGTGCATTCACCTACGCTGCTGTCCTGGAAGTGGAAAACCCTAGAAATAAAGACCACGCCTAATGAATGTAACCAATTGGTGTACAATCTCAAGATTCTTGTTTTTTTCCCTTTTGATCAGTAACTGTTAAAAAATTATTACTTCAGCTAGAAAATAAGATTCTAACATACTAGCAACAACTAAGTAATCATCTGCACTTTTTGCATGACTAGAATTAGACATTTAGGTCATCTAGACTAGCCAAACAACTATTCCTTTTTTATCTATAACAGAAGAAAATATACTTTTAAAAAGACAAGAAGAAAGAGAAAGAGAATGATCAAATAACATGGCCACACCTCTCTGGTCTCTACCACAAAAAGGCCCAAAGGATGTAAGAACGAAGACAACTACACCCAATACTAACAATAGTTGCCAAATGCCAACGCCTAGGCAACAAGGCACCCACAGAGGGTCGCCTCACTTAAATCATCCAGCTAAATGCTATGAACTTTGTTTATATTATTTATTCCTTGAAATTATAATAATAAGATAAATATTATTAAACTAAATTATTCATTTTGTGGTGGTTTATATACTAAATTTATTTTTATAATTTTCTTTTTGCTAGGGTTCAATACACATGTTGGTGTTTGCTGTCTTCAACCCTTGGAGACTTCAGAACCTAAACCAATAAGCAAGGAATAACTTGAAGTTTTTTCTAATCAACCAATGAAGCCATAAAGATAATTGGGAATAAGTAATATCTGCAACAAATTTGTTAGCCAATTCTACAAGTGGCTGCAGTTGCAGAAGCCATCACACAAGGAGAAGCATTACCAAGAATCACATAGATTCAAGCCATATATTTACTTATTTAGTGGCATTTATCAATTTAGCATCATAAAGTAGTGACAATTTGACATTAACATATCAACTATTAAATATCCAAAATCCTTTAGACCATCAAGTCTGAAAATAAAATTTTCTACCAAGAAAATGAAGTGCAAGCATCTAACCAAGAAGTACAAGAAAAAAACATATTTATCACCAAACACAAGGACACTATTGCAATCTCTGATCCCTGCACACTACCTTCTCAAATGCAATGATCAAGTTGTCCCTTGCAGTTGAAAAAGGGCTATCCACTGCCAAGCTTCGAAAGTAGCGATAAATTGCCACCAAATCATCACCAGAATAAGAGGCCAATATTGCAAGCTGGGGAAAAGCAAATAATTAAAAGGTTTTGAAGACTAAGGGAGAACAGAGGAACAAGTAAATGAATAGGAAGCTAAATGCACAATAAAAACAAATAAAAGGAAAACCTGATGATGAGGATTGCCACTTGATGGCCACAGAGAGGCAGCTTGCAAGTAATAACTTGAAGCAGCTGCATAATCACGAGTTCTGGAATCACCCTCTCCATAATTTCCTTTGTAACGAGCAAGGTCACCCAAATATATTAGACAACGGTGACAGGACATCAAGCCTTTCTTCATCTCAGCACACTTCTTCCCATCTTTTGTCAGAACAATTTGATTCTCTGGATCCTCAGAGAAATAGCCGAGAGGCAATCCATACTTTGCCCTGATCTTCAGAATTAGATCATGATAAAATCCAGTTGCTTCTGAAAGAAAGGTCTTGAATTGGGAGCGGATTTTTGTAATCCGATCAGGGCGAGAAGGACCTTTCCCATTCTGGGACGCAGCTGTCAAGTATGCTCTCAGCTCCTCGATTCTCCTGTAATGCAACTGCCACAGAGCATACTCTATTTCATGCTGCTCAGAAAAAGCATGATCCTCAAGTATTATGGCCTCATAGTTCTCACGCATTTGTTGCCATGCATTGGGATCAGAAGGAATTCTTGCCTGCGCTGACTTACGACGTCTGTTTTCCAGCTCAATATTCTGTAAAGAGGAGAAGTGTCTTAACTTACCAAATAGCCATATGCATAATAATCGGCAGTTGGATAATAATGTACAATCACTGTTATACATACTTTGTGACCAAAATTTGCTCAAGTTTTTATTTATATATTTGTGTTGGTCTTCACACCCTTACTGACACATATTATGAGGGAACATAAAATTTAAGCACAGCCAGAGATGTGCATGGAATTTGTACCAACTACCATATATACAGGATTCCCAGGTGTAACCTATTTTTATATAGAAGACAAAAGAACTTTTAACCAATGCAGTTGTCTGGACTCAAACCATTAAGCTTTGGCGTGTAGCCTTCAAAGCTTATGGCAATGGAATATGCCAATAAATAATATTTAATTACATAGATGATTTAAACATGCACCCATTATGGCGATGCTTTTTTATACATATACATATGTACATATATAGCTAGAAAACATACTTGTGTTCTAAGCGAAGCAGAAAGAAAAATAATCAGAAAAAGAATTTAACTCATCAAAATAGCCAACAACCACTCTCAAAAAAACATTGAAAAAAGGTAAAGTAATATTCATTGAACTCAATACCATCCCTGTACAACAAATGGCTGTACGTAGGGGAGCTTATAAAAAAACTACCCCTGCAGAGCTAGTACCATCAACCACTATCTTTTCAAAAAAAGATTTCCATATACAATATATGTATTGTAACTCCTTCCATTGAGTAACTTATGAATGACCAGCCATGAATATAGTCTTCCCATTATCCACCGAAAAACAGCTTTCACTTTAATTAAGCTTAACTATTAGAAAACAGATTCCACAGTAATTAAGCTCAATAAAATAGGTATTTAACAAAGCCAGTGAAAGGTCATTTACCAAAATCTGTTCTTTAGCAACAACATACTGCTAAAAACTAAAATAGTACCAGTTAATAGGCTGCAATTTCAAAAAGTGACCATAGCATTGCCAACACACAACTAAGGAACCAAAGTTTCAAAATTATTATATGTATAACTAATTTTGCAGCAAGAAGAAAATGCAAAATTGATGGAGCTCTTTTTCTGAAGTGTAAACCACCTTAACAGGTGTTAACAAGGAGCTTTCTTTTAAAAAAAATATCTATAAAAAAAATGAAATTTTCAAGATCAAGCACTCATTAAGTGAAGCAAACCAGCCTGCTGATGTTTTGGATGCCTTTTGGGCTAAGAAACACAAAGGCTCAAATCGGTTTATATTCCTTGTAATTACCCCAAGAATGTTGCATCGCTTTGTTTTTCTTTTTTTTTTTGTTTTTTGTTTTTTAATGGAAAAACCACCTGAAGAATAAGAAATGTTAACAAAGAGCTTTCAAGATCAAGCACTCATTAGGTGAAGCAAACCAGCCTGCTGATGTTTTGGATGCCTTTTGGGCTCAGAAACACAAATGCACAAATCGGTTTATATTCCTCATAATTACCCCAAGAATGTTGCATCGCTTTGTTTTTCTTTTTCTTTTTTTTTTTGTTTTTTAATGGAAAAAACACCTTAAGAATAAGAAATGTTAACAAAGAGCTTCCTTTAAAAAAATCTAATCAATAAAATTTTCACGATCATGAACTCAAATGAGAATCTTTTAGGGAAAGAATGGCAAATATATTCCGGTTAACTTTCCCAAAGATGTTGAACATTCTTTAAAGAAGGATACTTAGCAACATGTGTAAACACAGTTGTAATTTTGAATGCAACTTCTTAAATTCTTAACTATCAAAAGAATCAGATTTATGGAAAAAAAAACTATCAAAATAATCAAATGTAAGCATTGAGTTTTTGTCCACATCAATGATTTTGTACTCCCAACTTCTAGATGCAAATAACTTGGTTAATTATGTAACAAAGAGTAAAAGAAAATCATGTTAACACAAAAAAAAAAAAGTTTTTTCAAGAATTAAGTTAGAACACAAGTAACAATTAGAATAAGAAAGGTCCAATCTGTACAACCTAAAAATGAAAAAAGTGGCAAACCTTATTGTAAAGGCGTTGAACAAGCTCCCTTGATGAAGGAGCTCCCAAGTTATCCATCAGAACAGTCATCATCCATCAAATGCATCTATTAAATACTTCAACTTCAAAGAACACAGCTCCAATCTCAAAACACAGCATTAAATCTGCATAACAACTCAATATATCAGTAAGTTCAAGAATTTTAAAGAAAATGCCAAACATAGCATGAACCTGAACAAAAATCTAATACCCTTTTCATTTGTGATGAATAATGAAGCTCTTATCATGGATCAAAAAGAAAGAAAAGAGATCAAGCTTTGCAAAGACAGGAACAAATGCAAAGATGTCATTAATTAACAAAACTAGAAAACAAATAAGAAAAGCTTTCCTGATACCTTCCCTCTGCAGGCTATTTGCCAGATATCATGATCCATTTGAACAGAATTTTCACAGAATTACATACAAAAAAGAAATCAAAGTATGATATTCAGATAAAAACAAGAAAACTGAACAAACCAAGAAAGGGAAAATACACATTGAGTACTAAATATCAAACATCCTTGACAGAAAACAAGTACTATAAATGCTTGAAAGATACTGCAACACCTGATAATCAATATTTTAATAGTAAATCATACTATAATGCCAACTAGTAAATATCTCATTTCAATATTAGCATTCATCCTTTAAGTCCCAATAATCCAAACAAAGGACCTGGAATCAGAGACTATCTACACCCATTAACCTACAAGTTTACTCACTGTTCTGTCACCATTCAAACAAGGAAATTACATTCTATATATCTTAGATGGTTGTGCATAAAGTAGATTTTAGATTCAATAGGCTAAATAAATTTAAAGAATTAGTAGTGTAAGAAAGACTAAAATTACAGTGCTCAGGTTTCAACATTTATCGCAACATGTGCAGCTCTCCTGTAGAGCCTTTTTTATCACTATCTCCCCTACAGGCTTTACTCTTTAGGAGACGATCTCAGCCCAGCTACTTATGCCATAAAGAAGATGAAGGAAGCAATTGGCACAAATGATATTATATATTGGTAAAGAGGATCCATAAAGCATAAGTTCTAGCCAAGTTTCTATACTGTTTTGGAGATCTTTCCAATATTAATATATGGTATTTCAACATCCTTGGGAGATTATACTGTTTTGGCTTCAAAAATAGGAAATATATTTTCCTTATAACTTACGTCTAGTTAGGCAACTTAAAGAACAATTTTTTTATCAATAACTTAAAGAATAATTATGATTTGGGAGAAAACCTATGCTGCCAGAAAGACGTGATACTGGAAGGGCTTTGACCAAACAATCCCCCCTGCCCCATGAATTTTGATAAATACCACCAGACTGGTTATCACTTTTATGATACCAGTTCATTGGTTACAAACTTTTCTGGTATTATGTCTTTCCGAAACACATGATTTGGATCAAGAAATTTTTAGAACTACAAATCTACATTTTTTTTCAGTCACTATGTGAGCATCATATGGAAGATGTTATTTCTTCTCGGTAAAAACTTAATTTCACATTTGGCTCTTCCAGGGATACATTTGATAACACTGATCCTCATTATCTTTCCTGTCTGAAGACCTTGCTGGGCATTCATTTTGGCAAGTTAGCCTTGCATAAGCAGGAACTTAGGTGTCACTGCTGGAGGAGGAGGATTCAAAAAATAACAATATAAAATTCAGTTCCTTTTTGTATTGTTCATTATGAAATATTCTTTTAGCAAGAAGAACACTATAAAAGTTCTTCCTGGTTCAAGTATATAATTCTTTACTCATGTGAAGATAGGAGAACAAATGATCCATACCCCCTCCATACATGCATCATTTGTTCATATCTCCTTTTGTTTGACAATGACATATAATCCACTTTAATTTCCCATAAGGCCATCTTATTTCTCCGACATATTCTTTCCTACAACTAATGTTTAACCACTTTCTGATAAAACCATACAAGTAGTCATTAAGTCCTCAGACAATCATAATATGCACAAAAATTCAAAATGATGCATTCTCTTTCATGTAATATAACTTCAAAATCCTTTAAGTTCTTTGCCCCTTATAACAAAACTGCTGAAGTCATGAATAGAGAAAATTGAAAAGGAATTTTATCTTGTATAAAGTTAATCACTCCCATGGGAGATGGTATGATTGAGAAAATTGAAAGCTTCAAAAAAAAACATATAAATTTGAATAAAAGGAAAAAGGAAAAGGGATGAATAAAATCTTGTGTTCAATAATTTGAAACAACCAGAAAAGACAACTAAGAAGCATAACCAGTACAAGGAATTTTACGCAAAGGCACCACCAGTTAAGTTTTGGCACCTAGACGAAGAATCGGGATTATAGCAAAAAAATGCAATACCATGCAGAACTCATTCCCCCAACCTCGAAAAAGCTTGACGGCACTAACAAGATCACAGTAGTGACAATGACGATGGCAACACAACAGCTCAACTATTGTAGCCTATGAACATTGAATTAATCAACTACACGAAGCTAAAAAAAAAAAAATACCCCAAAATGGTTGAATCATATAATCAACAATCAATGAACTACTTTTTGGCAATTGTTTTGAGAAAATCAAATATTACTAGATCAAGAAACAAAAGTAAGGCAACCAACCTAAAGTGCTGCAAAATCCAAATTACTTAATTAACAATTTAATGACCTTCCCTTTTATGCAATCTATTCATCAATTTCCAAATATGAAGGTGTTTTTTCATGATTTGCAAACTAAAAACTGTAACAAATTTATGCTTCTCACTGATATCCACGAAAACATATAATTTAAAAATCACATAGCAAATCAAAAATGTATTTTTTGAAAAAAAAAATCATGCAAATAAAAAACATAAATTTTAAATAAAAAATCAACAAATCCGATATTGGATTCATTTAATCTGTTAATCGGACATCGATTACGTTATTCCAACTTCATACAGAATTTTGTTTAAGAAAAAAAAAATCACCTTTTGGAGCAGATCCGGGGAGATCTCATCCACAACAGACCAACTCGAGATACTCCGATTGATCGAATCCTCCTTTTCTGTTCCCCGAAGACCGAAATCTCCTATAAAGCCAGCCAGAGATTAGAGATTTGAGAGGAATCTAGGGTTTCTTAGGTTTTTGTCCATCGATAAATTCTTCCTGTTCCTGGTTTGGTGTTTGGTCCAGGCGGCCACGACCCACCACCCCCTCTTATCTATATTTTTCCACCTTTTTTTCTTCTTTTTCTTTTTTTGTACAATGTTAATAGGAATCGGTTCGAGTGGACTATGACAGGTCTACGCCGGAGATTCCCCGCCAGATGAGGGCGTTTCCATAATTTTGTCCATGTAAATTTATCGATATACCCTTTTCGAAGATACGTGTCATCATCATAAGGATAACGATCTCCGAGCCGCGAAAGAGTCGTCGTCTCGTTGATATCCAATGGTCCGTTTTCCTTCTGCTTTCCTTCTAGTGAATCTACGGTGTCAAATTTAGGGGCCCCACTTAATGTTCTAGATCGAGAACTGACACCTTCAATAAAACGGCCCACGAAAACAGTGGGGCCCAGCAAATGGGAGACTTTGGACCTATAAAAAGGGTCAGTGATCGGACGGTCCAGATTTGAAGACAGTACCACAATTCACAATTGTCGTGGTACGATTAGACCCAACTATCCCAACCACCAATGTTGGACCTGTTGGTGCAGACTCGACCGGAATACGGGAACCAATCGGTCCAATCGGGATGAGGTCTCCTGCCAAAGGGAGATTGGCTTCAGTCAGTGCAACACCTACGAGGGTACCGCCTCGCATTGAGAATATCTCCTTATTCATGTATTTTATTTTATGGGGAGATATTCCCAATGTAAGGTTAGGAAAGGCTATTAGAACGGTGTGGGCAGGAGTTTGCCTTGATGGAAACATCTTTGCATTAAAAATGTTTATTTTATTTTATGGGGAGATATTCTCAATACAAGGCTATAAAGGATGTTGGAACGGCATGGGATCTCGATTCACTTCAAGGATTCTATGGGCGAAATTAAGTTTAGATTTATTATTTATTATTGTTATAAAAATGTATTATTTTAATCATTTTACTTAGTTTGATCGCATCATCACCACCATCACAAAGCATGTCCTCATCTATTTGTAGTTTAAGGTATTGTTTGGCTGATGTTGATCTAAAATGTGTCCTTACTATCTAAAATAATATTTCAAATAACCAACTTCTGAGTCATAAAGGTATACGACCATGACCTACAATTCCATTATTTTCTTTTTATTTTTTCAATACTAGTAGAGGCATCAGGGACCGTGTGATGCATGGGAAAACCTGAAAGATGTAATAATTTTATTTTTCATTTAATGATTTATAAAAAATAATTGTTGTTAATTGAATATAAACAACTATTTTTAATAAACTTAGTTGTATTAATAATTTATACTAATTTTAATATTTTTTATTTTTTTATTATTTTTAAATGAAATTTTGATTAACTTTAAATAAATAAAAATAATTATAAAAGCTAACATTTTTATTAATTCCACTAATAATTAACAATTATATAGGGACAACAGGGTGGGTTAAAGGTAGGCACCCCATCCCTTTCCCTGCCCCATAGTCAAGACACTCTGCCCCATCCCCGCCCCGTCCACAGTGTCACACGGGTTCAAGGCAAGGTAAACAACCCCTCAATGTCAGGCAAGTTCAAGGGCAAGGCACCCCACTCCTTATCGAGGATAGAGAATCCTCGAATTTCCCTGCCCCGTCCCTAGTATTGGGTGGGTTCAAGTAGAGGTGTAAATTGGGTCATGTTGGTTCGGCACGACACGGCCTGCATGTGGCTCGCACAAAGTGTAAATCGTGTCGTGCTGGCCCACGAAGCATCCCAGGCCATTCCTCCCTCATCAAGGATAATTTGGGGTGTTAGTTTGGCACGGCCCACTACTCGAGCCCGCACAGGCCCGTGTCGTGTCGTGGGTCAATCTGGTCCAAGGGTCGAGCCTTAGGCTAGGCCATGCCGCACACCAAGCCAAGCTCAAGGCAAGGCATCCACTCCCCGTCCAAGGTTTTTAAAATTGGATTGGATAGGGAACCGTTCTAGTTGACCCGCTTTGACAAAAAAATAAAAAATTAGAAAAACAAAAAAAGGCCAAAAACTATAATCCAGGTTGATGGTTCAACCACCCAGGTCAGCGGTTCGTTAACCAAATAACAATTTTTGGACAAAAAGTGTTTTTGAGGTGAAACAAACAGTGTCTAGTTCCCATTTTTTTTGGTCTAACCATCTGGTTTGACCCAATTTTGAAAACACTATCCCCATCAACCCAATATTCAATTTGATGATATGATCAAGAGGATATATTGAGTATCAACCACATGCTAAATTCCTAAAAGTACACTAAATTATCTTTAATATTAAAAAAATGTAATTTTATGAAAATTTTGGAAATTTTGTTGTACTTGTGTAATTCTGAAAATTTATTCAAAATTATTTAATTTTTTTATTAAATAATTTATTTTCTTTTTAAATTGTTTACTTACATAATTATACTAATTTATCTTATAATTTCTAATATAAACTAACCAATAATTTTCTTTTTCAAAAATGTTATTATAAAAAAATGTAGTTTTATGAAAATTTTATTACATCTGTGTAACTATGGGGATTTATTGATTTTTTTTTAAATTGTTATTAAATATATATTTTTAGTTGGTAGTTTACTAACAAAATTACACTAATCTATCTTTTCTTTTTCAATATAAACTAATTAATAATTTCATTTTCTAACATTATAGTATCTTGTTCCCCCATTTGTATTTGGTTATTAATCATAATAATAACAATAACTAAAATTTTATACTTTTTGATAATTGTTAAATATAATTCTAAATTATATATAAATTAGTTAAAGAGTTTTCAATTTCTATAAAATGTTGTTAATGAGTTAATTGATAACAATATTTATTAATTTTTGGTAATTTATTAACCGTACTAATAAGAATATTTAATTTTTGGTTATTTACTAATTGTATTTATTAACTTTTGGTAATAACATTATTTAATACTCATTGAATATGGGTGAAATTAAATATTAATTGTATTTAACTATTTATTAATTAATATGAATATTTTAAATGAGGGAGAGTGGATATAGATTGGGGGGATGCATTTTAGGAATTGGTTAGGGAGTGGGGCAACATGATACTTTCCTATTGGTTTAAATGAGATGCCTTAGGAGAGAGATAATAGGAATAATTTTAAGTAGTTGGGTGACATGGCTTAATGGGAGTGGTGGGAAGGGAAGAGGAGAGAAAGTCAAAGAGAATGTAAAGTTGGAATAATGGAGCAAGGAGAGGCATGGTGACGGGGACCCGTGCTTTGTTAAGCAAAGTTAAACAATAGAAATACATAAGAGTATATAATTGTTTTATATTTTAACTTTTTAATAAATAATCCGATCAAACTCAACCCGAGTTGGTCGGTTTTCTAGTATTTCATATCGACTTTGGTTGAATAAATATATATTAATATTTTATATTTTAAATTTAATTTTTTAATATGGGAAAGTGGAAAATTCCCATATTTGTTAGTTTAAAATATTTTATATCATAGATTTAATTTTTATAATTTATTTTTTAATAATATCATTGTAATTTATGAAATTTAAAGTTATTTTTTAAGTTTAAATTTTTTAACAAACAAACTAAACCAAAAATTGACCCAAATTGATACAACCCGAGTTAGTGGATTTTTGCTAATGGTCAATCGGTTTCGAGTGACAAATTGCAGACTTGACTAGATCGATTTGGTTGGCGAAACATCCTTGCAACTGAATTGAACCAATCATTGAACACTCCTAATTTCAACTAAATTTGTAGTATAATCTCTAATAAATAACAATAGTTTAATCGCCAATAGTTATTGAAAATTTATAGCAAACGTACACAATCATTGAAAATAAGTTTATAATGAAAATATAATAAAAATACAATAATTACAAAAATATAATAAATACTGAAAATATACTAAATTAGTCAATAAATAGTATAATCTTAAATAATAGTTTAATCTCTAAATTATAAAAAATCTATAATTACTAAAAATAAATTTATAACAAAAATACAATAAATTAAATTTCATAAGTTAAATAATAGTTGTTTAATATCCAATAATTATTGATAATTTTCTATTAAATAACAAAAATAAAAATACATTTATAAATAATTATTGAAAGCATATTTATAAAAGAAAACAATAAATAATTACTAAAAGTAAAATAAATATTAAATATTGTATATATAAATATGTAATGAATATACACTATTATTGTAAAATTATTACTAATAAATATAATTTTGTTGATAGTTATTTTCTATAATTATTAATTGATATAAGTGAAATTAGTTATTTACAATATTGTTTAGTTATTGAAATAATATTATTATTTAAATTCTTAAAATATTAATTATTTATTAAATTTAATAATCCATAATATTATAATTGTACTATTATTATAAAATTCGTTATTAATTTTGTAAAATATTAAATTATTATTAATATGAATATTATGAATTCTATTATAATTATTTTTCTACTTTTAATAAATTTTTTAAATTTATTACGTAATTTTGTTATTTTAACTATTTAAAATTTTATCATTTTAATATTTTGTTATTTAAATATTTAAATAATATGTAAAATATTTAATTTTTTTCATTATTTGAATTTTATTTTTTTTAATGTTATTATGTAATATTAAATATTTTGTTATATTATTTAGCTACTTTCAATGTTTTTATTTAAGATTTTTTAGTTATTTAAATATTTAAATAATATTTTAGTTTTTAATGTTAATTTTTTTATTATTTGAATAACACTTAAATTAAACAATTCGTAAAATTATAATTTATATTATTACTACATAATTTCATGATGAATTTTGTAAAAATATTGAATTATTAATTTTTTACAAAATTAATAATTATCTATACTAATTTATATTATTACTACAAAATTATCTCTACTAATTTATTTAAGATTTTTTAGTTATTAAAATATTTAAATAATATTTTTATTTTTAATGTTAGTTTTTTATTATTTGAATAACATTTAAATTGAACAATTCATAAAATTATAATTTATATTATTACTACATAATTTCATGATGAATTTTGTAAAAATATTGAATTATTAATAATATGAATATTATTAAATCTATT